TCAAAATTCTTTTTTGTTTTAGAGAAGTTAGCATGGTGATAACCTAATTCTATCTATCGTTAAGAAGTCGCTATTATACTAACTTCTCTAAAACAAGATTATTTTTAATAGTAGTCCTACAACCCTAATAAAACTTTCTATATTCTTCTTTTTTGTTTATTCGTAGTAGGTTTATTTTTTTTAAAAAGTACTTTAAACTGTATATAAATAATGTAAAATTAAACTGCCAATCGTACTATGAATAAGATAGTATATATATATATATATATATTATAAGCAATGTAGTACGGTTACATTGTACCAGTACGATCACATGAATGTGTAACATGAAATGTGAGAGGGATGGTTCCATTCAACTTTTTTGATGTGGCCTTTGCTCATTTTGAAAAATCCTTTTTTTTGGTAGGATTAATGATTTTCATTTATTCATTTTTAGAAAGTGTTATGATATTATTTTAAATGACGGTGTAGACGCGTCACGTGAATGAAGCTGCGCATGAGCTGATCATTTACAAATTTCGAGATGATTTCATTGTTTCAATGAATGGATTGTTATTTAAGGTAAGAACATTTATAAACGTCGAACAGATATGTTTCAATTGGAATGTCATATATTTGAATGTTATAATTTCGTCTGTTTAGAAAAAGAAATTTTATTAAAACATTAATGCAAAAACTGTAAGAGGTGTTGTCTATACCAGTACGATCACATGAAATGTGTGAGTGATGGTTTGAATAATATTATTGGGTGTGGCCTATTTAGTAGGAGTAATGATTTTCGTTTATTCATTTTTGGAAGGAGTTAAACATATACCGTAACTTCATAAGTAGATTATTCAAATATGATGTTACTGATTATAAAATTATATAAAATTTTATACCATCTAAATTTAGAGTTCGTCCGTTTATCGCGGTTTGCAAATTGATGTACTTTTTGATCAAATTTGTAGATCGCTGCATACCCATACAATGACTACAATCACTTGAACAATCACCTGAATGTTGTCTTGCGCGATTTTGCAATGATTTTTTAGTGAGAATAGATCTTGTCGATGAGAAATAACATATTTATATTGAATCTTTGGCCAAAGAACGCACATTATAATTTTTACAATCTTGTACAATCGCGCAATCGGACTACAATCAGGTGATTGTATAGGTATGCAGCGATCTACAAATTTGATCAAAAAGTACATCAATTTGCATTTTATTTTTTTCTTATTTTCCTCTTTTTAGTTGGTATTATATTATCTTTATTTTTTTCCTTCTCTTGTGAGAAATGATTGTTGTAGCACGGTTGGGTGATCAAAGCTCCAAACGACTGATCAAAGCTCCAAACGATTGATTAAAACTCCAATCGAAAGTAGGTTGGGTTTCAGCATGTAGGAAAATTAATTATTGCTCATAGAAGTTATAGTTTCAGTCATATTTGTAATTGGGCATAATTCAATGTATCCAATTTATTTGAGAAATAATAAATAAAAGAGAAATAAATCCAAATTAAACCATTAAACTCGTAACGTTACTATGTAATCTCAAACTTCCGAATTTTATATCATGTGATTTACATAAATTAAATCGTTATACGATTCATACTCTTTTTTGTTAACGATCGAAGCTAAATCCGATCAATTACTCAAAACTCTCCCACTCGACGGTAACACCGGATTACCTTAGCATATCGATTGAAAATTGATCCTTGATTTAAGGTAATCCGGCATACTAAAGAATTTTTTTTAATACTCATTTATACCATTTCAAAAATCGTGATAAATGGTTAATACAGTTAAATAATTAAACGGTTAGAAAAAATTTAAGATTCCAATATTTCGCTATCATAGTAACCCTAAGAAATTTTTACACGTGATTGCACATGACTGCACGAAATATAGCACGTCCAAAGCACGGAAATCAATATATGCAAAATCGACGAACACGAAATTTTTCATATGCACGGCATGTAAACGAAATAATAACGGCTACATATGTAACTATACGGAAAATTGCACGGGAAAGCACGTAAAAAAGCACGCACCATCCCGTGTTATATTTCATGTAGTTCTGTATACTCTCGTGTTGTCACGTATATCAAGAATTTACTCAAAATATCGTTATCAAAGCAAATGAAAGAAATAAATGGAAATAAATAGTTGGAATTTATTAATAGATTTGTATTTTTTTTTTTTAGTTATCACTCTTTATTTTACATAAGCCTCTCAGGTTTAAGTAATTTAATTATTCGTATAATATCATCATAGAGGCTTTAAAAAATAAATGTGGCAACATAACCGGGTTTCCACCTCTGATCTAGCCGAGCCTTCTTCACTGCAATCACTCCGATAAGCCAAAATATGCTCTCTTCACTATGATCACTGATGCTCGACTTATACTTCCCGCATTAACAAAACCAGATTTTCTTCACCTAACACTGGAGAACCGATCTGTGATCAAGCCGAGCTTTCTTTACTGCAGT